TCAAATTAAATCACTTCGAAAATCCCTAACCGCCGCTACTCGATTGTAATGAACGTAGCCAATGAACGTAGCGGTGTGGTGTGACGTCTTGCCTGCCGCGCTTTATGCTGTGCTTAGCGCGGGCCTCGAAATGGATATCGGATGCAGGCACCTCGCAACACGTGTGTTTGTTTACATATAGCTTTGTGACGTACGGTGTTTGGGAGTTCTGCGATGATAACCTCGTTATTTCTCAGCATTTCTTAAGGTGCATGGAACATTTTACCAATTTAGGCCATCCTTAAAAAATTATGTTTGCTGTCCTCCGACCGACCCACGAAAATAGCCGCGACCCAAAAGTTTTTTTTACATTTTGGGTTCCATATTTTTTTTTTATTATTCTAATTTTTTTTTTTCATAGTTAAGACTGAAACACAAAGCATGTGTGGCAAACATGAGGACAGACTTAAAATAACTATTAAGCCTCACAAAAAAAATGACCTACCTACCTAGCCTTAGTGGTGTCAGTTAGTCACGGATATGTCACAGTAAGTACTAACCATATATGTTTCACATACGTTCACCTGTTTTGCACACAGGCGGTCGATCATTGTGAAAAATTTGGTGAATATTTATTGTTATTGAGACGTTCCAAGTGCCTGTGCTTTCAACAGTTTTGTACGTCAATGCACGTGCGCCAAGAGCCACAAACTCGACCCAATTTCATCTCTGTTATTGTTGATGCCTGAATGGTGATTGATCAGGGAGGGGGCATGTAAGAGGGAGACATTTTCTTTGGGTTCCCAAAAAACACAATTCCACTTGACAATTTCATGGGCCATTTCAATTGGAAGCTCTGCATAATGGACCCCCAACAAGCCATTTGACTGACTAGTCAAGAAATTCAAAGGTCTGTATATTAAATTGCTCTTATTTCGCCGCTGATAGTTCTTATTTAGAACAAAGTCTTCATTGTTATCTTCTAAAACTACAGACCATCCGCTGACCGCTGTGGAGACGTGCGCCGGGCTCGAATTTGGCGCACGTCTCCACTGCGGACAGTGCTTCATACTTGAACATCCCCCGCGGTCTCTCTCTCTCTCTCTCCCTCTCTCTCTCTCTCTCTCTCTCTCTCTCTCTCTCTCTCCTCCTCTCTCTCTCTCTCTCTCTCGCTCTCTCTCTCTATCTTTCTCTCTCACTTTCTCTCTTTCTTTGTCGTTTACTTGCCCTCCCGCTCTCAACCGCTTCGCGTCTCGTATCTTATCTATATGTGCAATGAATGTCAATGCGGTGTACACTTACTGAACATGGTGGCTAAGGTCAGACCATCGATGTCAATCTCCGTACAGAGTTCCTTCATCGTAGACCTCTTATCCGAACGCTGACAGGTCGCTACATGTAATCAGAAGTAGATAATAGGGAATTAATTAGGGAAATAATAGGGAATTAATTCCATATTATCTACTTCTGCTGTAATACACCTTGATCTTAGTACAGGTAGGAAATGACGGTTTTTCCATCATATAGCTACTTTTATCGCTATCTTTTATACATATTGGAAATACGATATAGTAATTCGGTACGCCGACGACCTATTTCTCTACTGACTATTAATATTAACGTCTTTTACATATTGGAATAACTGTGACATTTACCAATGGATTCGGCACTCATCATAACTGTGGCATTGCCTATGAATGCAGCTGACATTGCAACCTTGTAATAGCTAATAAATTAGTCAGTAACTGATAAATTTAGCATCGTAACTGCGACGACAAAAAAAAGGAAAAATGACTAACTTTCTTTCTTCTCTAATACGTTTGGCGTTCGGTAGTATAGCGCTACACAGGTCTTGCATACACTGAAATAAAAGTAATGTTTTAGTCATGTAGAATAAACTAGCGTATAACGTAATGTAACCGACATGTGTTGAAAATGCTTGCTATGGTAATTGCAAGTATGCGTCTTGCCGTATCAAAAATAGTAAATAATAATGGCGCATCTATAAGAAATGTAGATATAAGAGGTCGCCTGTTGTTTGCTAAGTTAATAAGGAAATCAAATGAAAAGATATTGCACGTATTAATTAAGGTATATGCGTTAAAGCCAGTGTATTCGCGTGCTTGCGCGTGCGTGTGCGCGCGTCTGAGTGTGCGCGTGGGTGAGTGCGCGCGCGCATGTACGTATGCCTGGGTGGGCTCGCGTGTCTGCATGTGTGCAGGTGCGCGCTTCCGTTTGATCGGTGTCTTCCCATTTCGCCAGTTTCCCATTTCGCCATTTGCCATTTCGCCATTAACCATTTCGCCAGTTTCCCACTTCGCCAGTTTCCCATTTCGCCATTTTCCCATTTCGCCATTTTCCCACTTCGCCATTTTCCCATTTCGCCAGTTTCCCATTTCGCCATTTTCCCATTTCGCCATTTTCCCACTTCGCCAGTTTCCCATTTCGCCAATATTTTATGTTGCTTCCACCCCCTGCACGAAATTGATACTTCCATTCTTAAAAAAGAGTCATTTCTAGGTCGTTAGGGTTAGGGTTAGGGTTAGGGTTAGAATTAGGGTTAGGGTTAGGGTGCCTGTACATGATCCATATTTTTTTATATGTACGATTTCGCCTTCTTGTTCTTATAATTTATTCATTACAGAGGCCTACTTTTAATCCACCTCGAACAAGGGGGTGGTCGGGGAGATAGGACGAAATGGCGGAATGAGAAACTGGCGAAACGGGAAACTGGCGAAATGGGAAACTGGCGAAATGGGAAATGGCGAAGTGGGAAATTTTTAATGGCGAAATGGCAAATGGCGAAGTGGGAAATGGCGAAATGGGAATAAACCGTTTGAATACCGAAACCGCACCGCACGATCATCAAACTGTTGTTAATTCAAATCATTGACAATAAAGTTTAAACCTATAGCGTAAAAGTAGAGAGTAATAATTAATCGCTGTTTACCCGTTATCGAAGAGGAAGAAATTCCGATACACACTATCCGCGTCATCGAACTTCATTTGTATGCACGTGCCCTTGCCGGACATCGCCTTTGCCTCTAGCAGGTGTATTTTGTCACCACCGCCCTCGTACGAGTACCACTGACCTCGCATCAACACAGGTATCTCGCACATCGGTGGCGCACTGACAGCATCTGAAAAATCATCGTTCGGTAACATGAAGGAATGTAATAATGAACTGTTCGGCAACCTCTCTCCGGTAGAAATTAACATAGTATATTTTCGGATTGTTTCCTATGCATGTATACTATGCATGTCTACAAGTATGCATGTATACTATGCATGTCTACTATGCATGTATACTATGCATGTCTACTATGCATGTATACTATGCATGTCTACTATGCATGTATACTATGCATGTATACTATGCATGTCTACTATGCATGTCTACTATGCATGTATACTATTCATGTCTACTGTGAATATAAACTATTCATCATGTATACTATGAATGTATAATATGAATGTATACTAAGCATGTCTACCAAGCATGTCTACCATGCATGTCTACCATGCATGTCTACCATGCATGTCTATTATTCATGTATACCCCCATAGAACGGTTTGTGATCCGACCGCCGATCCGACCCGTGACCGTACAAACGATCAGAGAAGGCACGCCGGTAACGTAACGTCATGTTTTGTAACCGGTTTACTTCCTACGAGCCATGATCACAGTACCCGCTGCTATATTTACTGGTGCCACCACGTAACAACACGTTCTAATTTATTCCGTAGCGTTTAGTACCCACTGCCACTGACCACTGATCACTCCCATACGTATAGTAGATTTTTTACCTCTCCGAAATGGAAGGAGGTCCGAATCCGGGGGCCCGTTGTCAGAAGAATCATATATAGGTAATGACATCACAAGTATAAAATGTCAGAACTTTTGCACATGAAATGTTGTGACAAGACTATGACGCGTTAGAATTATTATGGTAATGACTGAGTATGTTTTTTATGGGTTTGACATCAGCTTCTTGGCTCCTAAGCGCTAAGCAAAGCACAAGGGGTTCCCCTAACAACGATTACACATTACATACAACGATTACATACTTGTATGTCTCAGGGACGCTATTACGCCACAGTAGGGCTGAAGTCAATGAGAGTGTAATGCGCTGTCAAGATACGCACGAAACGTAGTAGTGCTTTGCATGCCTAGATTATGATTATGTACATACAGCATATTGGTATTTTTATTCTTCTTTCCTATCTATATACATAATATATAGATTTACATTTGAAGTGTCATGTCATGTGACGTTATGATATTGCCAGCGATTCCATGCTCTGGATGCAGCAATATTCGCATGAGTGTACATGTGAATGTGTACCATTTGCACGCGATTATAAATCAAATAAACCAAAAGCTCGCATAATGCATTTAATACGGGAACACTGTGATGATTACAATATCTACAAAACAATGTAAATGACAATTGATAGATTTTCCTTCAGCCCAAATTAGAATATAATTTTTAGTCACAGCACAAAACTGATTGCATAGTCAGTCGTTGCCACTTGTTGGAAAAACCCACATAGATGTTAGAATTGGTCCAACAGAGCACCAGATTGATGAAAGAAATGTCTTCTATTGTACCAGACACCAGCGATCACGAATTCGTTTTCGAATCTTTACAGAAAGAGTTGGGTAATGATTGCTTTCTTTACCCAGAAAAACAGCAGAAAGTGTTGTCATTCCTTGATAAGGTAATTGCTAAACACGAAAGATCTGAAGCCACCATCAGACACATCATAGAAGCAGCTTTACTCTTCCATCGCAGACATCTCGTTGCATCTCTCCTGTGCTCGCCCCAGACACACGCCCTGCTCTACCTGTTGTGCCATGTGTGCGTGAAATACGATTTCAGCGACACAGCCACCGTGCAGAAGCTGGCCGCCGATATTTTCCGATGTGATCGAACATTCGAACGATTCTTCTACTGCCCTGATCAATGCGACGTCAACTCGATCGGCGCCAACGAAACGCATCGACCGAGTTCCGAGGAGAAAACGATGACGTACTTCCTGAACCATCTTGCCTCGACATCCTGGCCAGTTTTCCGAGGAAACCGGACGATCTGGTACAAATTCGTCGATACTCCGCTGAAGAAGTCCGTTCACGGCGGCTTCGGCAACAGTCCCTTGTTCCGAGCCGTGCTAACCGAGCAACCACGCATCGTACATTTGCTGCTACGCTATGGCGCCTCACCGATGCTCCCCAGGCAGATCTCCCCGATAGAATTACTCGCTCAACGTCTGTCCCTGCACTCGGTGATCATGACGAGAATGGGACACCCGTGGCTTCTCTCTCCCCAAACCAACGCGCTCTGCCTGGAGCTCATTGCCAGGGCCGTGACGAGAATTCCGATAGCGCTATCGAGTAAGTGCGTGAGTGTGGCGCAAGCAAACGGCGACTCCCCGCCTAGCATAAAAACTTGCGACGCAGAAACAGAGAATTTCCTTCTGCATTCAGCCGTCACCAAATTTCTTCCCGAGCGACTGTACGCGCCCAATGCACCGTGTTTGCAACACCTATGTAGATGTGCATTGCGGCGCCACCTGGTGGTGAAGCTGCCCCAGTCTATTTATAGCCTTCCTCTTCCACGACGGTTGATGGAATATGTAGATCTACTGTACTAGATGCATTCACATGAACTCTCAATAACCTAGCAATAAATCCTAAAGCGTTCGATGCGAATTTCTAAATTCCATTTGGTATTATTGCCATTTATTTTTGTTGTTCCTTATGCGTTTACATATTCGGTAACTTTCACACGTTTAATTGCAAAAAAAACGCACCCTCCTAACACGTTATGATTTCGCTCATGTGTATCTACTGCACTGCTTATTGCCGATGGAAGTACAGTAGCATACGAAATGTTCCATAAATGAGCTATACATCGATAGCGTTGGAATCGAAACAATTAACCCGGCAACCTTTATGAGCATTTATGAGAAAAGAGCCATGGGAGGCGGTTTTGCAACACATTCATTTCAAAATTTATTTGAATTCAGTAAAACAGATATCATAATGTGTTTTTAGCGACGTCAACTTGATTTCTGATGATATTTTAATTATCTATGCTAGTAGCGAACGAGGGCAGTGGTACGATTATTACTGGTTTAGCGTAGCCGTCGCACGGGCTACCAGGAATTCTATTCTATCTGTATTCTACCTATCATTATAAATTCATGTATTACATATTCTACAATGCGCATAAGCCACACGAGTGATGGTGGAGCATATATGATGAGTTGAGATGGAATCTTTCGTAGCGATCTATGCATTCGATGCATTTACTGCCGTAAGCATAGTCTGATGAATGATGACGCGATTTACATATTAAATGTATAAACGTGTTTATCTAAAAATGCATGATTATTAATAATTTGAACATAAGAAAATGTTGGAAAACCCGAACTGATGCATTTTCGTTGAGAAAAAAACTTCTTGACCATGCATCCGGTGTTAAAATACATGACAGCTAGCAATATAAAGAACCCTATAGAATCCTGCAAGAATTGCAGAGTCATGCAGTCGCCTACTCCTCACAGAAGAAGAAAAAGTATAAAAAGAATATGATGACTAAAAAGACAAATAAGAAACCAGCTAGTCGAATGATTATAGTTGTACTGGTCTAAATCTGTATCTCATGAAGTCGTAGCCGCGTGATAAGCAGAGCGGCAAACATAGACTAACGACAGTAAGACGCCGGTAAACATCAGCGTGAGAAGATAATTGAAATCGCCAGGCCGATGTAACCTGTTGTCTAATCCGAGGTTGCTAACCTGTTCTGTGACCTCACAATACAGACGCAGACGCAGAACAGACGCAATGAATTCCACCCACAGGTCTCCAGTTGTAACGAATTATCTTCACCTTGTAAAAAAAACTTGGTTCAACTGGAATATATAGTGGTATATTGAAAATAATATGATTAGATGAAATATTGTTAAAATATTGGCAACATGCGCGCGCACACACACACACACGCACACGCGCACGCGCACGCGCACGCGTACGCACACGCACACGCGCACGCGCACGCGCACGCGCACGCACACACACACACACGCACATACACACACACGCACGCACGCACGCACGCACGCACACACACACACACACACACACACACACACACATTATATATATATATATATATATATTGAGTAGACCATAAGTAGATGGCCAGATCCAGTCTAATTATTTCCGAAAAATACTTTATTACGTCTAAGAATGACGTGTGTGGATAATGAGTTTCGCGCATATTTACGTGCGAAAACACATCTTTAGCTGTAAATAAACTAACCTAGCGTTTTAATGTTGCAACTATCGAAAAATGAACTATCAATGAACATCAGTATCTAGATGACTAAATCGGTGATCCCTTGGCAAAGTAGATGTGATGTACTATCGATTCTGACTTCATCTAACAGAAGTGGTTATAGCCTTTATTATCTTCTTCACTAGCAAAACCTGATGCTCGAATTGTTGAGAAAGAACATTAGTGCATGGTAATAATCATCGAAGCTGTCCGGGATACGATGATGTCATATTTTTAACATATTGCGTATTGCGTAGAAGTTATGACGTTCTACAATTATGATAGTAATTAGGTTTAAGATGGTTTCAGATGACAACGGGCCCCCAACTGTTAAACCCTCAATATTAGTTAGTTATTTTTATTTTTAGTACGGGGTGGCTACCCTTAGCTAAGAGGTTTTGCACGCAGTCACGCAAGATCTGTCAAAAAATTTATAGCACTGGGATCTGGTATGCGGATTCAATGCGAATTCAGGGAAACCGAGGCAACAACCGATTACATTATCGCAAACATACACGTGAGCGGAACAGCTTTCAAGTAATTGGCGAACCAGTCTAGAGTAAGTAGTCAGTCGACAGCGAAGGTATACTGATTGCAAACAATGAGTATCACACCGGTTTGCGTACACTTTCAACCCTCGTAGATTTTAAAGTGGGCGCGCCCCTAGATTTTAAAGCAGATGCGTGCACGACTGGTAACGCTTGATGATTAAAGTGATAAGCTCGTATATGTAAGGTGAAACAACTACAGTTCTATCCAGCCACTGTTTTAAACACGATTCGAAGCGCTGGTGTACTGGCGTGGACACGAACACAGACGGTTGTCTATCTTACACGCGAGGGAAGCATAGCTGCAGCATCAAATAGTACGCATGCTCAAGTTTTGACGGAAAATTTCATTGAGAAATGATCATGTCGTTTTATTCACGAGTTTTACGTAGGTTGTATGTTGTTTTGTCATGTAGGTATCTATGTCAGGTTGTATGTCACGTAAATAATTAATTACCTAACAACCAATAACGAACGTCGCATGTTGTCGCATGCAGCGATACCTGACTGCGTCACGGTGACGTAATCAGTGTCTCGTCATCATCTTGCGGGACGAGTTTCCCACACACGAACCGATATCGTAATGCCGTACGATTTCAATCGTCTTGCCCTGCGGCAGATTTGACTGCTTTGTTTTGTTCGCTGAGGTAGTCAGGCGATATGTCATGTGCAGCCGATAGTCGCTTAATTTGTTTGTTTTTTTAATTGTAAAAAAGCTGCCGATTCGCCGACCACAGGCGTTCCGAAGGGAAGCTCGCTGAGTGAAAGGAGAAGCTGATGTAGATCGTGGATAAGCATTTAGAGGAGGGACAGGAGAGGGTGAGATTGGAGCAGAGGCGAGAGGGACGGGGTAGATGGTGTATTAGGTGCAAATGAAGTTGAAGAAAATTGGACCATTAGGCGGTATTAGGTGCTGATGGGTGAAGACATATAGGAGGTGGCAGATGAAGGGACGAAGAAATGGTAAATGAGGTGGAGGTAGGGTAGGTAATGAGACAGGAAAAGAAACAGGCGGCGAACGAGTACGGAGGTAGACAAGCAGACAGCCGTGAAGTTGCGAACGCTAAAATAAATAAATATGTTGTGACACGGCTGGCAGTCTCCAGTCACGAGGTAAGTGCAAGGTGTAGAAGGCTACGTAACAATTAAACATACCCGCGGGACATCTGAGGGGCATCCAACGCAACTATACGCATGATTAATCATGTGTGTGTATGTAATACTATGTATGTGTGTGTGTGTGCGTGCGTGCGTGCGTGCGTGCGTGCGTGTGTGCGTGCGTGCATACTGCGTGCGTGCGCAGCGGTGTGTGTTTGTTTGTGTGGCGTGCGTGCGTGGAGTGCGTGGTGTGTGTGTGTGTGTGTGTGTGTGTGTGATGTGGTGTGTGTGTGTGGTGTGTGTGTGCATGGCGTGCGTGCGTGTTTTTGTGTGTGTGCGTGTGCGTGTGTGTGTGCCGCGCGCCAGCGCAAGGTGCGTGCGTGCGTGCGCCGGGGCATGCGTGCGTGGCCTGCGTGTGGTTGCGTGCGTGCGTGCGTGCGTGGCGTGCGTGCGTGGCGTGGCGTGCGTGCGCGCGTGTGTTTGTTTTGTGTGTTTGTGTGCGTGTGTGTGTGTGTGTGTCGTGGTGTGTGTGTGTGCGTGGGTGTGTGTGTGTGCCCAGTGTGTGTTGTGTGTGTGTGTGTGGCCGCGCGTCGTGCGTGCGTGTTGATGTGTGTATGTATGTGTGTGTGTTGTGTGTGTGTGTGTGTGTGTGTGCGCGCGCGCCGCGCGGTGCGTGCGTGCGTGCATGCGTGCGTGTGTGCCGTGCATGCGTGTTTTGTGTGTGTGTGTGTGTGTGTGTGTGTGTGTGTCGTATGTGTGTGTTGTATGTGTGTGTTGTGGTGTGTGTAATGTGTGTGCGTGCGTGCGTGCGTGCGTGCGTGCGTGTGTGCGTGCGCGCGCGTGCATGGTGTAATTCACGAGCCCAGAGCTAGCGCCGAGACTTTCTTCGTCTTTCGACCTATTTTTGATTCATCTAAATAACCGCCGCGCCCTCTGGACGCATGCGGACCAAAGCCACTGATAAAATCACCGACGCACGTGCCGTCGTGGCTTGACCCAGCATTTAGAAGACGCGCTCTGCATAACACCACAATACGAGACGCGTGTGGTCGTGCGGCAGCAGACAACAATTATTCTTATGCTCGAACGCAAGAATTTATGCTCCCGGGCTGCATTTACTCGGCCTTGTGTGTCGACTATACAGCAACAACATCTCCCTGACGTCATAACAAGTCAACATACAGGAGGAACCTGCAAGTGATAGCAATGAGCCGTCACTAAAAGCAGCAGTCATGCACGAGTTATATCTATATCTATAGTTTATATCTATATACATACTGGCCGAGTGGTTGCGAACATATTTTTACATGATTTTATCACGTAATAATAATAATAATAATAATATACGTATATAATAATCGCGATAATGCGAGTGGTAGCATAACTAATAATAATATATTCATATTAATATATAAATAAATAAATAAATAATTTAATTTGTAATTTTGAGCGTGAGCACCAAAGGTTCGTGATCCTGGACCGCGTTACTGTGCGTGATATAGCACGACATGACACGGACATGTGTATATTGTAACACACGACACACGAGCGTAAAAACTACAAAACGGGTCCCTAGACGCGACAGATCTGTGCCCTGGGCAAGTTATGCACTTGGCGCTCCTACACGCGAACCTCAAGGGCAGATATTGACGGAGGTTTGGTAATTTTAACTTGGCGTCCTAGCTATAGGGGACCTCCGCTCAGGTCGTCTTAATGGACGGGACTACCCTGACTTGACGTGAATGAATACAGGCACAGATAGATTTACGGCATCATGTACATTCGTTAATGTTTTCAAATCGAAAATTGCGTTTTTTTTAGCATTTAGGCGTTGAAAATGTTAAAGACGTCAGTGCGTCCATAGGTGCGTCCGACGTAGAGGCGTTTGCACACGCACGTTATGCAATCGCTGTTGAGAGACCGTGCTGTCCCCACTGATCCCCGCGCAGTCGAATTCAATGTCTCGGTAATTATACGACAAAATTATGGTTTGTAGGCACGTTTTCCACGCTTTTTACTGTTATTTACGTTATTTTTTTCTTTTCGCATGCATTACGAACTATTCTGTATTTGTGCGCGTTGTAATTGTTGATTGCGGTGATGTGAGATTTGAGAAAAAACGCATACTAATGGTGACTCAGCTTAAGCTGAAAATCACACTAAAAATGTACATCCGAAACGCACACACCATATTCGCACGTGTGTGTGTGTGGGGGTGGGGGTGGGTCTCTGATGACCATAACCATGTACGTACGTGTAACTATAGCAACATATATGCAATAACCATAAATGGTCATACAGTACATCTACATTTTATACATTTATTACCCTCACACGTTTGTTACATGTCGTTAATTCTAATATTGCCGCGACATAATAATTCTGAATATATAATTATGTTGGCAAAGTTTCAGAAGAAATTTACAGAATATTGAGTGTTAAACGTGTTAAAGAAAGAACCGCGACGAATAATAAGGTCTATGCATGAGTAAAGACGATATAGATATAGACGAGAAAAATTACGTCACAAGGAAGTAATTTGTTTTGTAAAGCTTTTGTTTCAATGCTTTGGAACGTGTCAATGCCAGACATAATAAAACAATTTCACAATAAATAATGCTCGAAACGATAACTATATATGTGTATATTTTATATAAAAAAAACCAGAACATACGGTATACGACATACGAAAAACGATTCCATCAGGAGTAAGATAATATATTATCTTACTCCTGATTCCATATATACAGTTTACGATGACGCAATCACTTTAAAGAATAAGCGAAAGAAACTAACATACTAATAAACACGCTAACGTATATACTCACTGTATGATTCAGAGTAGGTTTGTCCGTACCGCGACACGACGGAATTCGTCGCCTGACCGTTGACAGCGACGAGGTTAGGAGCGATGCAGGTGAACAGAAGCAGCAGAAGGCCGGCCAGCTGCTGCGGACGTCGCCGCCTCCAGCAGCAGCAGATGATCGCGTGTGTCGGCATCGCCACGGCCGTGCGTATGATCTGTACACGCCGGCTATGTGCTGTTACTACCATCGCCGTACACACGCATGCGCCGCAGTTTACGCATAGCTGAGTACGCAGGAGCGGTGCGATCGTACGTCTGTCGCCTCCATCGGTCTCTGTAGTAATCGCGAGTCTGCAGTAAACCGCAGGCGATCTCCGGTGCTCAAGACATTTTTGAATCTGAACACTTAATCGTACGAGATTTACAGTTCTAGAGGGGCGCGAAGGTGATGACAATAGATCGTGAATTAAAGCGTCGTTTATAATAATCGGTTAAATAAATGTTTTGAATGTTAAATAAATATTTTAAATATTAAATAAATGTTTTAAATGTTAAATAATGTTTTTAAAGGATGATAATGATTATAATGGCTCGAGGTAATAGATGCGTGTGTATAGGATAAATAGATAAAAGGTGTGTATGGTAGAGATAATAAAAAGTTAGGACAAATAGATGACGGCTAGATACGGTAAGGAGATAATGGTGAGAGAGTGCGACGGTTCATACAAGACAAGGTCGGTTGGGACTATGAGTATGAGACGTTAACTGATAGCGATAAAAAACAAAGACACCATTATTTCAATTAAAATGTTTAATGCACAAAAATCTAGGTCAATGGGGATTTATCTACCAACCAAACACACAGCGCTAGCGTTCGAATTATTTTGCATCTACAACGAATACAGATGTTGTAAGATCCACCAGGCTCCGCAAGGAGCGAATTTTATACACGCATGTACTGTACGGTAACGTACTATTTTGCAACATATTTATTTACAATTTTTTATTTATTTTTCTAAATGTTCTTTTCTTTTTTACGTTTTCGTGACGTCAATTTCTCTTTTTCTACTGGATCGTCACATTTTTTCCCGTTAATTGTAACATTTTCGTCTTGATTTCTCTTTTTCTTTCCTTCTTTGGATTTATGCGATTTTGTTTTCACGTTTCCAGCTCTTCCGTATACTAATATATACGCTACATACGCAACAACGGCAAAACTTCCAAAAATAACGAAGGTAGCAAATGCTATCACATCTAATAGCCAATATTGAAAGAAATAGAGCTCCGTGCAAGCCGAGTGCAGGTGAGCTGCCCCACGTGTGTTAATAGTGTAGTTTATCCACATTCTGACGGTCTCTGCAGGCTTCACCGGATCCAAGTGATATATGTCCGACAGTCTCCGGATTTCGGATTCGTACCTTTCGAGAGGACGAGAACAAACGCAAACTGGTTATGTTTTGCTCGGACGATGAGCGGCAAGTACAATAGCAAGTGTTTACACGATGCGCCCTAGACGTAGGCCTACGTCCAAAACGCACCGTGTATGACAATGCAAACGCAATGTCGGAAGAAATTAGAACATCCGTCCTGTGCATCCGATATCGCAAGGGTCATAAAATCGCATAGTTTACACGGTGCGTTTTGGACGGACGTCTAGGACGCATCGTGTAAATAGGCCTTTATACTCCAGCAGAATATCACTAAAGGCCTATTTACACGATGCGTCCTAGACGTACGTCCAGGCCTTATTAGATTTACGCGTACGTCCTTGACGCAACGGTGAATCTGTTTACACGGTAAGTTTTGTTCGTACGTCCAGGACAAGTAGTTCACGGGCAGGCCGCCATGGGGAGAACACGTACACGACGGCCATAGCGCCTCTTCTTGTGGCAGGAATTAAGAAAAAATATGAAATTTCGCAAAGAAGGAAACGAGTTTGGGTGAGACATTGGATCGCCAGGAGAGACAAACTTGGAGCATATCATGCACTTCAAAAAGAATTAGAGGAGGAAGACCCCGGAAGCTTCCGAAATTTTGTGAGGATGGACATGGACACTTTCCAAGAACTCC